CCTTAACAGATCAGCCATAGAATATTCCTTTATCTCTTTCACTGTGTTAGTTGCGTCCCTAAATCCAACTACAATTCTGTTTGTATTCGCCAAGAAATTCGTACTCCAACATTTTATTACAGTGGAACGTGTGCAACCCGAGTGTTTCTTTGGCATAAGAAGCGTCTTCAATCCGATCGATTCAAAAGGTTTGCCAATAAGTGTATCCGTTATAGGTTGTCGTGAAGAAATAGCATCTATTTTTGCACCGTATAATAATGAAACATTGCTAAAATTTGCTTTAAACATACAGTGAAATTCTCCGCATTCATTAACCGGTACTGATGATGAATCTGGTTCATGTAACGGATGATCTAATAAAAAATATAATTTAAATAAATTAATTATATTAATACAACAAGTAATCCATTATTTTATTTGCTAGATACATATATATATATATATATATATATATATATATATTTATATATATATACATATATATCTAAAGTAAAAGACAAATGATCAAATTTTCATATCCGTATTTTAATATGAAATACCTGCTACTATGTATTGCTGAAACTTATTTGTTCCTGTAGAAATTTGTTTGTCTGACACTGTTGCATTGTCTTGACCACGTTCTCTTTCATCTGGACGAAATTCGCATAAATATATTGTACCACGGTATTTACTAGCACAAATAATCCATTCGTCACTTTTTACATCTGGCCGACACATCAGTTTTGTTATTACCCCACGAGAACAAATGAAATCGATGTCCAACCTAATTAATATTATCTCTGATTATATAAAAATAATTACGAATATATTTATGAATTATTATTACGAGTATATTTTATATAGATATTGATAATATAAATTAAAATAGCAAAAGTAACTTTTTTGTGTATAACGTGTATAAAATATATGCTATCTACATATAGAATTTTGTAGAATACATTATATATTTAAATAATATATACATAAATAAATAATCGATTTATCAACGTACCAACGTTCTTCATCCTGTTCTGATAATGGCCTCGCGATTCGATGAAAATTAACGCTAATCCACTTTAATATATTTTCCAATATGATATGTGAAGGAGACTTGTGACGGGCAGACGTACAATTTATATTGAGATCGAAATTTACATTTTTAGGATTCGAAGGAGGAATATAATATTTTAGTTGCGATAAATCAGCACGATATTGCAAATCACTATCGATACTAAAATGTCCGATCAATTCCGTCGTTACATGAACTGGATTTGCACGTGTATCAATTTCTCTCCTGGTTGCCATAGCTCGAATCCTTTTATTATCTCCGCAATAGCACAAAATCTC